TTACTAGAATTTAAATTGATTCCAATCCTCGCACCATTTCGTAACGATATTTACTTTGAATTGCAGTTTTTCCATTGCAAGAGACGGGCTGACAGAATCCGTAAGTACGACCGTGTCGTCGGCGTATTTTAGAATCTTGGAATCCAAGGGATTTGGGAGGTCATTTATAAATATATTGAAAAGACAGGGAGCGAGGACTTCTCCTTGCGGAACGCCACTGTAAATGATATTTTTTATGGAAATTGCATTTCCACACTTTACTTGGAATGTTCTACAGTAAAGATATGAGATCAGAAATTGAATAAAGCTGACCGGGAGCAGGAAATTGCTGAGCTTATGGATAAGTCCTGCGTGCCACACTCGATCGAATGCCTTTTTGAAATCGAGGAAGCACGCAGCGACTGCCTTCTTTTTTTGAAAGTTGCCTGCAATATATTCAACCAGATTTAAAATTTGATGCGTAGTGGAATGACCGCTTCGAAATCTAAATTGCGAACTGTCGATAAGGTCAAGTCTCTCAAGCTGATTGGTAAGTCTGGTTTTTAGAACTATTTCAAAAACTTTTCCCAAAGCAGGAAGCAGACTAATCGGCCTGTAACTAGTTATTAATTTCGGGTCTTTACCCGGCTTCGGAATTGTAATGATGATGCTGTGCTTCCATTGCTGGAGAAAATATCTATGTCGTATGCAGGCATTAAAGATTTTCACGAGAAGCACAATACACTTTCTTGGGAGGGCCTTGAGGGCGTCATTACTGATTTCATCAAAACCTCTGGCCTTGCGAACTTTAAGATTTTTGACAATCTGTCGAACTTCTCTGGGGGTGGTGAGATCGAAGTAGTTAGATGGAGTGCTGCATGCATAGTTAGATGGAGTGCTGCATGAGGCATTAAGCGAGGTAACGGAGTATTGAATTTCTCTTTCATGCTCGGTATCCTCTTCTGGGTGGGGCTGGAAAACTTTGCTTAATTCTTCAGCCATTAAGTTCGCAATTTCAGTCTCAGAATGGTGTATGTTACCCATGTGATGAATTGGAGTAATGCTATTGGTCCTTGTGGTTCGAAGCGAGCGTGCGATTCTCCAGACCGTCCCTAGCTGCAAGTCAATATTTTCCAGCAAAGAATTCCATTTTTCAGAGCGGAAATCCTGAATTTCGCGTTTGATTTCCCTGTTAAGATAGCTGATGCAGTCAGCTCGTTTGCTGGGTCTAACTGCCAGCTTTTAGCACTTTCACCACTGGGAAACTAATATTAACTCATACTATTTAGCGTTTATACTAGTCATTAAAAAGACTCAAATTTAAAATTATACCCAGAAAATTTAAAAGCAGGTTATTTTTAAAAATAATATATAAGTAGAGTGAATTTTCTTAGTCACTATCTTCCTAAGTCGACCAATGCTTTTGAGAACATAAATAAACATAGGTATTAAACATAGGCATACTTTCTAAGATGATAACATCCAATAAGATTAAAACCATGTGTAATCATGAATGGTCGCTTTAAAAGAGGATTCCTTATATTTAATTTTGAATTTAGATACTTTTTATAAGTACATTAAAATATTATTCAACTTTTCCTGATATATATTTTATTCGAAAGTTTTTTAGCTGTTGCTTGAACATTTATAATATATTTTGAACTACATCTACCTAAGATGAAATCTCTTAAAATGCTTAGCTGTACTTTGAACATCTTTAAACAGTAGTACTAAATCCCATCTTTTAAGGCGACTATCTTCATAGAAGAATTAAAGCCGAAATAGTAGCTTTTAAAGTTAGTTTATGTTATCTAATTATATCTTAATTATCCGAATAAACCGAGGCAAAATTAGATTTAAAGTTTACTACAAGAATATACTAGTAGCAAAATGAAAGAAAAGAATTTTACAGTTTTGTAATTAACTAAGCAGTTTTAATATAGTTTATCTCATGTGTTCTCATCTTCCCTCTCGAATGATTTTTAAGCTATATTTTTCATGAAAACTGCCAGTACCGCTTTATAAAACATATTAATTAGATAATGACATTTAATAATTATGTACATAAATTTGAAATTCTATTAGCTGCTAAACGTGTAATTAATAATTTTCTAATCACTTTCAGTTTTTTAATGCTTAAGTATTCTTGTTCTCACAAATCACTTGCAAGTACGTATTTAAAACTTTTAAGGCCTGAAAAGAATGTTTGTGATGTTTACATCGTGCGATGGTTTGCAGGCAGTTTATTTTTTACCACGATATTTTGAACAAAGATTTTTTAAAGCTGCGAGGTTTTTGAACCACGTTATTTTACACGACGATATTTTATATCACTAAGTTTAGAACTGTGATGTTTTCTCCTTGCTTTCTTTTCTCCCACAATATTCTACACGGCGATATTTTCAGTGGTCTTGTTTTCTCCCTGTCGTTTTCGTCTGCGATGTTTTCGCTTTAATCAAGTCGCTTACCTGTATTGTTATCAAGAATTACCAATGCAGAGGCCTTCGGAGACTCAACTTCTTTTGTTTTTTCAGGACACAGCTCTTCATTTTAAAATTAAGGGAGAATCAAACCCCATTCTTGCTAATAACATGGTTTCTTGACGAAGAAAATCCATTATTTGTTCTAAATTACGGGAGCTCTTGGAATCCACTTGACTCAATTTCTCATTCTTTCTCATATTAGCAGTACTTCAGGGAAGCAGCTTTCTACTAACAAACGATTTTCTTGCGCTTTTCCAGATTTCTCCAAAGCTCCCAAGTTTAGCTTCTTAGTTTGTCATATAAAGTTACCAGATCATTCTTGGTTCGTCCAGTCACGGCGTTCTTCGTTTCATGCTTAATAAATCATGAACATAAATTTGGACAAGTAAATCATCTCTTCAAAATCATTTTTCTAACTGTTTGAAGTTTGGATAATTCTCCACATTTGCCGGAAAACTTTGAGTCAGCTTTCGACTATGGCTCCACCGAATTTACTATACATTGCATCTTATATTCATCAGATTGATACTTGTCTTCATGAAGCTTCTAAAATAGGCTGAAGAAAGACATTTAATTCTTTGGGTCACCTGAAATTTCTTCAGCTCAATCTTCGAAAATTTGAATTTGCTTTATTTTCATTTCTAGCTACAGAGGCTTCTTGCAATCACTTTTTCAGTTTAGCATATATTTCTAAATGCCCGTCTGTGTAAGTTTCGGCTTCTTCAAAATCACCGGTGTACAGTTTCGTACAATGTTGATGTCTGTGGGACTTTTAAATATGCTGAACCTTTAAAACGAAAAATTCATTTATATCTGTAACTCATTTTCAGTTTTTTTCAATCTTACAGTAAACAACGTTCTCAATGACTTCTGTTGTGGTTTTAACGAATTCAAATCCATCTTCAGGGAATACTTTAAAGTTCTAAATTCAGAAACACCCGTCCCTCCGAGAGTACTCACCTCCCCCTAAGTACTTGAAGTGAGTTAAGTGTAAGGGGGTTTTGGAGTTCTACGTTCTTATGTTGAGAACTAAAAGCCAAAATTTAATTCATAGGTTCTCGTCTACACGATGCAGGATGTTCTCGAAAGTTCAGGAAGACAAAAGGGATTTCGAAAATCATGAAAATACTTTATTGAAGCACACGAAACACGTACAAAGACAGGCACAAAAACCAAACTTTATTTCGCGATCTAAACTGAGTCTTATGCTCATGTATTTTAGAAGATGACGTCACTCTACCCCAGCTCCAATTCATTTCACTTTCAACACATGTCGTTAAAGTAGCAATTGCTTACTCTCTTACAGCATTTTCCCTTTCAAAAGTCTTATTCAAGAAACCATGAAGTTGAGATCTTGAAGGCTATTAGCTTCGGAGCTACTAGCATAGCTTTTTAGCTCAGTTAGCTTTGGATATTTCGGAATAAGTGACATTTTAATGTAAAACAAACTTATTCTCACATTTTCGAAATCATTGCTCATTTTTAATACGGAAAACAGTTGAAACGTATTTAACCTTAAAGTATATTATTTATATCTTTTTAATTATTAATATATCTTTTTAAGATTTCACGCTTGTATAAACTAGGTTTAAAACAGCTTTCATTCTCGCTCCTTTTCTAAGTTTAAAAGCGAAACATTGTTAGCTGGATTTATTTTTTCTGTTAGTGCTATTTATAATTTTTTAAAGATTTCCTTAAATGTATTTCATGATAATTTTTATTTTATTTCCTACTCATAAAATTATATAATATTCAAACAAACGAAATGTTTAATCTTAGATTAACTACTTTTCGTAGGTCATATATTAAAACAAGAAAATGGGCTTTACGTTCTGGATTTTGTATTCCAGTTTAAAGTGATTAGGCTTGTTAAATAGTATGTTGTAAATAGTATGTTGCACTGCGCTCGAAGTGAAGGATAATACTTTTTACATGTCTAACTCTCTCCTGTTATTTTTATTCTTAGTACTTAAAAAGAATAATATGTTAATAGATTTGATAGCAAACGTATTAAAACATTTAAAACTTAACAAAAGTAATAAATCTAGTACAAAGTACTGTCAGTGATTGCCTGGTTTGAATACATTCTATTAGCATAAATTTGCCTTTTAATAGGGTCCCATAGATCCAGAAGTAAGTAAATTTTTCTTTATGGATCAATAAATTAAACCCAAGACATTCCATACTCATACTTGCAGTTTATGGAAGTAGTAGATAGAAAGAATTTACTCACTCAAGAGCTTATTATTAAATGATTTCTATCGGATTCCTATCCAAATTCGGGAGACTCTGTCATACAAGTTGTATATTATTTTGTCTCTGTGGCAAAATTTTTTCGTTTTATTAAATGGTACTACACCGAACAAAAGATCACTTGTTATTAACACTGTAGTCAATTGCGCGAAAATTTAAATCTCTAAATTAGTTTATTGGAAGAAGAATTAAAAACGTGAATCAAATGTTTATTTTTCGAGAAAAATAATTGCCAGTAATATACAAATATAGATATCTCTTTAAAGGTTAGTTAAAAGAATTAACCTCATGGAATAAAGGACTTGGCCATCTTGAAATATTCGTAGCAGCTTATTTGGCAGGGTAATGGTATGCAAGTAGGAGCCTTTTCCGTTGTGAAAGTATGTATCAGGCTTCCAGATTCCTTCTAGCATCTTGATATTAAGGCTAAGACTTGGAATAGGGCCTTCGAACATCAGGCGTCTATCTGTCCATTTTTGCCGAAAATAACAATCCATCGAATATTCCTAGAAGATATGCAATCACATCCTTTGAACAGAAGTTGTGAGTTATGAGATTTAATATATTTTTTAACTATTAAAATAATTACAAGAGTAAATATCTTTCGTAAGTAATAAAACAAATACTACAAAAAACTGATTACAATCTTGACTTGAGAATGCTAGTCATATAATAATGAGAAAGTAAGGCGAAATAAGCTCACATTTCTTTATTACGTTGCAATTGCTTCTAATATTATCTACCCAAACTTTGTAAGACTTATAAGGAAACAAAATAAGTGCATACTTTTCTGAATCTGAATGTATAGTGGACTGTTGTTAATGTGAACTCGCAGGGTTCAATATAACTGCTTGAATTATCAGATTAAGTTACTGAATAGCACACACGAGCAATCTGTCTTTGAGATGGGATGGAGGCCTCGTTAGTTAACTGGGTCATATTCAAGAATGGCTTTAGTCAAGTTACACTTGGGGATATGCCTTAAAAATACATATAGAGCTAGCCTGTTCACCTGGAATCGAACCCAGTTTCGAATTAACACGCGTTCGAATTTGTGACTGTTTTTCAAAAAATTAATTTTAAATGAATTTCCTTAAATTAAAAATATTTTTTTAAACTTCATCTAATTTTTTTAAATATCTATGAACACATATTTCACTAGAAAAACGACCGTTAAGTGATTGTCCGTTTAAACCTACTAACTGTGGATATCTTCGGATAATTTTTCGAACTGCAGTCGATATTGTAGTTCTTTGATTGGTGCGTATGAATAAATACATACAAACTCTCATCTGATTGCGCAATTAACCACTGCAATGGCAACAAAAATAACTCATGAGCACATATCGATTCGGACTTTTAAATGATCCACACAATCGCTATATATATATATATATATATATATATATATAATTAAGATAGAGAATGTTTGTTAAATTCAAATTTCATTCCTTGCAGCAATGACGCAAGAAAATTATTATTTAACTTTACTATATTCTTTTGAAGCTTTTTACGAATTGAGAATGTTTGTTATATATATATATTTATATTTCTTGCATAGAGCCAAGTTTTACTCTTTGTAAGTTTCTCAGAAAACTCATGTAAAATTTTCACCGAGGCAAATTAACTACTCGAAAAGGATGAAAAGGTAACTGTTCAAAAAATCTCATGTCTGGTCAGATAACAGGTCTGAACACGCAGGCGGCTTGCATAGACAGTCGAGTATTGTCCGGGTTCCGCAACTAAGCTACATTTCGAAATCACGACATTATATGCTCATACAAAGTATCAGATTATTCTTTATTGCGTTGTGTGCTTAGAAAGAGCTCTTTTCAAGAGACAAAAGGCTCAATAGCACTAAGTAAAACTTCAGAAAAATTTTCCGAAATGCGTTGAAAATATATTACATGCAATAACTGTATAAATCTTAAAATGGTACCTTCCGAAGTATGACTTGTTGCTTTGTTTTGAAGAAGTTTTATATTTTGAAAGTTACCGGGATAAAAAAAAAAAAAAGGAAATTTATTCTGTAAATATAGGACGTAAACGTTATCTTGCTAGTAGGTTGAGTGGATTTAAATATTTTTCCACTTCTTCCGTTCAAATTGCCATTGTAAAACAATCTTGACACAATTGCAATTTGCTTACTGAAACTTTCTTTGCAGTGATGGAACCAGATTTGTACATTTTCTTCTCTTTCGTTTTCGATAATAAATAGACCTTATTTTATTTGGTTAAACGCATGATTCATCAAACATCTCTATGTATTTCAATTTATGATCTGTTAACTAATTTTGATACCGGAATCTACAAATTATTCTGCACTGAGCCACATGCCCCTGTAAAAGCTGGTCAGCATAATGTTTTTTAGCATTTTTAATTTGGTTTATTATTTTATTTATTGTTGCTACAGTAGTTGTATTTAAAGACCTTTTAAGTGATTTCTGCGATGGTGGATTTTCTTCTGCTACAAACGATTCACCTTTAAAAACTAAAAAGTGTACGTACCTTTTTCGGGTATTCTTTCTTTGGGTATTATATTTCCATGTTGAAATAATGATTGGAAGTTTCTCCTTTCCGATTAATAATGATACTTATCTGGCACTGAGATATTTTACTACCATTTATTTCGCATCATTTTTGAAAAATGTGATAGGAATATCGGGAAGCACAAAAAACATGTCCTTCAATCCATAGCTTGTTTACCTGAGTCATTTTGAAAAAAGAACAAATTTAAAATTAGCAGAGAGTACTTCTCATTTCTAATAATAAGCTATAGCCAGAAATGTTTGTTCTAAAATATTCGCTTTTTTCAATTCTTAATCGAAATTGTTCTAAAAGTATGTAAAACTCTTTGTACCATATTCAGCATTCTTACTACCCGGTCACTGCTGGGCCGGTGGCTTGTAGTACTTCGAGATTTGTTCGAAATAAACAAAATTTCGAACTATCCGATTTAAAATTAACGAATGTTTCAAAGTATTTACTTCAGATAAATAGTCTGCAATCTGTCTAGAAGACATGCGTTTAACGAAGGAATGGGTTTAACTAAAGCTTCTATTACAGACATACACAAATAGACACTGACCTCCCAAAACATTACAAACCAAACTTTTACTCCCAAATATTCGAAACGGAATCTAGAACTAAACATTTAGCTTTTGTTATTTTTTGGTGGTGCTTGTTGGTAGATTTTGATAAATATTTACTAATTTTAGCTCGCGAGGAGTGAATTCACAATCACGAAGATTTGGACACCTTTATCAAAATTGAGGAAAACTTTGCTGATATCGGACAAAAGTCTAGAGAATTAGGTTTATTTATATACAATAAAAATAATAATGTTGTGCAAAATTGTAATAAATGCAGATTAGGCTGAATTCTAAAGGCAACCTTATAGAATGAGCATATTTATTTGCATACACTCTGTTTTACAGAAATTGTCACAAAGATAAAGGAAAAAGGGTATGGATGAGTCAAATCAAAATCTGTTGTTTTTTAAGGCAAGAAAAATTTTGCTTTATATAATAATTGCAATGCGCAAAGATTCGGTTGTCACTAGGACTCAAAGATCCCGTTACTGTTCAGATAGCTGCCATTTAATTATGATAATTCTTTCGGATTTAAATATCCCTTCTCAGTGAACAAAAAATTGATTTACTGTAATGATTTCTGTAACTGAATTTCCACACAGCAGGAACGCAGCGATTTCTGTTGCGCAACTCATTCCTAGTTCTTAATAGCTTTAGAAGACATAGTGATACTTAAAAAATGTCTACCAGTGGCCGAGCGGTAGAATTGCTGAAAACTGGTAGTCCGACCTGGGTTTGATCCAAGCGAATGGGATAGCTGCATGGACATTTTCATGGTTATATTCATGTGTAAAATGGATACGAGCTTCGCTTAGATGATTCTCCACGAAGGCATCCCTCCCTTTAGAATCCTCTTCGAACGTCATGTCTCCCAGTTGATTTTCTTCAGATTTACGGTCAAAATTAGAAAAGTTGCTTAACGTTTGCACTCTAGTGTACGTAATAGAGTGAATAATTTATGTTTTTTACCATTTGCGTTTCTATCAAGTTAGTATTTAAGCTGATAGCTTTAAGAACCTTTACAGAATACTGCTTTTAAATGAAAATTGTCATTTACATTTTATTGACTGTAAGGTTAAGCTTAAGGTTTAAACTTAAGAGTTTCGGTTAACTGAATATCACTCCAGATTAGATATTTTAAAACTAATAGAGTAACATTTTATAACACTATTAGTTCTTAAATTGTTGTTATATCTGAATAACTGGACTTACTTGTAAACTTAATTGCAATCTGCCGCATAATTTTCAGTAATATTTTGCTTTGTGCGATTGACGAATTTTGATTCCTAATCAAAGGCTATTTGTTTTTCTTTCTTATTCAAAGCTAGCGGAAAATAATAAAGGGGACTGCATCGTATTGAATATTAGCCATTTTCGTTTCAGATCGCGTTAAATATTAAGACACGCATTTCAATTTTATCCGCACTTTTACTTAAAATTTAAAGGATGCACGCACTTCGAGATATGAAAACTCGCACTTCTCATTAAATAATCTTAAAATTTCGCATTTTGGACATATAAAAATTATTAATATTTTATTTAGTAATTTTACACTTAAAAATGTTAAATCCTATTTTGAAAACGCTCTTTATTTGAATAATATACTTTATTTCATGAAAACATTTTAATTATGATATTATTTTTTGCCTCTAAATTAAAACATAAATTAATGTCTGTATTTAAAAATTACGTTTATTTCACCTTCCTCAGAGGTTCAATACAGTTTAAAAAATGTCGTCTCATAATAATTTCACCCTGCCTGAATACGTATGAATTTAGCTGATTGATGCTCTAAAGTCTGGTGTTTTAGAGAGCTTTCAAAATATTTCATTCAGTTTATTTATTTAGCTAAAGCGAAATTCACTACCGAAAAAAAACCTTTTACTTATAAACGGTATTCAGAAGAGGTAAACACAAAGTGATAAAAATTTACATAAAGGTAAGAAGTATTTTATTTTCTTCTGAAGGCAAAAGATCTTTAAGACCAGAAAAAGTTTGGCATTTATATAAAAGATGCAATTGGCTTCGTAGAAAAATGTCACGAACAGGAAGCAGTTTTTCGATTGAATTTTCGATAGGCAAACATTTTATTGCTTGTTTCCTTTTGCCGCGTCTCTTGTGGCATATATTGGTTTCCAGAAAGCGATAATAACATCCGATAAATCAGTGAATCCAACCTTCAGGACTTACTGATTTACTGGAGTCTTTCGCTCTCTATTCAGGGATTTTTTCCCTCTATAAATATTGTAAATGAGCATTAAAACGGATTATTTCGTAAAAGGCTTGCATGATTATATTTTACTTTCCAAAAATGTTTCCTTAATTTTTATCACTTTTTCTATTAATATAGTGCTGAAATGCTCTTGTACGGTTACAACACAGCGTTCAAAGGCATTTTTATTTCATTGCCGCAAATTTGCATAAAAATCCTTTGTGAAGAACATGCAAAAACAGTGATTTGAAAAAGAAGGAGACTGTTATATATCTCTCATTTCTATTAGGCTGATCAATAAACTTCAACTTGCATTTATCTTGTCTCGAAAGCGCGACTTATTACGATTACTAGATTTATATATACTGTTGCTCTAACATATTCATTTAGGCACAAAATCGAACTTTTGCTGAAATGATATACCAAATAATTTTCCGCTACGTCTCAATTCATACATCAGTACCAAATTTTGAAATAATGAGACAAGGAATTTCCTAAATATTCGCATTAAAAATTTGGCCCTGAATTTCACTTTGGTGCCTTCCAAAACATTCACTTAATGAACTGCTAATTTGCATTAACCCTCACCATTTTTGTCTCTTTGAAGAATGACCACGTGCTAAAATATCTCAGACTTTTAAAAATCGGATTAATTCTCTATTTTAAACATAAAAATTTTATAATGTTTGGAAAACAGTAAAACTATTTTAAGCAGATAATTTAATTCAGATGCCAGAAAAATGTTTAGATTTTTTAGAAAAAGAAGTCCTTTTAAAATATATTCTATTTGCAAATAAAATGCCATACTTAAAGATCGTCTGCCAAAGATTGCCGAAAATTAAGAATTTCAACTTAATATGTGATAAAAATGTTCTAGTACGAGTAAAATGATATATTTCTTTAATGTTAAGGTTTTTAAATAAGTCAAAAAAGCTGTCACACTTCATCAAGTTCTTTTTAAGTTCAAATAGTGATGAATTAATAACTATCAGTACAACCTTTCTTTATATATCATTTGAAATAATGTAGAGTTGTGTCTAATAAAATTCGAAAGTGAATATATGTGTATCTCACAGAAGACCTATTCTGAAATAGACCAGAATTTCTCAGAAAAAACTTAAAAGTAATTTCATTTGCAATTTGAAAATTTTAAGTTAACAACACAAAAAAGAATTAACGATTTAAAATATTTTTAAATACAAATTTAGAAATATAATTAAGTCATATAAATGCTTCGGTTCTATTTCAAAGAGAAAATAACATCTAACGTTGTAAATTCATGAAACTAAATATTTACTGTCGTTGAACTGAATCATATAACAATGCCAGAGATAAGTTCTGATTATTGAGCTACATTTTGATTAGTAATACGTTTTTCCTCAGTTTCAAACACATCCTTGAAGTTTTAATATAGTATTCTATACTCTAATAGCGGGCTTTTAGTTTTTACATAGGTTGTAAAACAAATTTAACATGATAATAGATATTATTCTAAAAAAAAATATGTTCATTCCAGAGAAACTTAGTTTTAAAACGAAGACCAAGAAATGCGTATGCTGATAGAAACTGTCCAAAATGTTATAGGTTCATATTTTACTTAGTAAAGACAGGGTATTCACTTCTGTTAAGATGAACAGCTGTCAACAATTTTTATGCAAAATCTATCTGGATTCTTTTGTAATGAGAAAACGTTTTTATCGAATTAGAGAAAGTTGTCTAATTCATAACGCAAGTATGAACAATAAGCGTGAATACGATCTATTGAGGTTTACAATTTTATTTCTCTTTTGTGATACATTATGTAAACTAGTGGCATTGTCGTAGTTCTTTCTGAGGCCAGCCTATAAATTTTCAACAAGCTGCAGCAACGTTATACCTTGATCACGGCAAACCAAGAAAAAAGACAAGAAAGTAATTAAAACTATAGCCTTGTTTTCTGCTTCATAGCTAGTTAGGAGATAATCGGTAAAATATTGGGGCATCACAACATTTTCAGAATTCAAAGCACAAATATTTCCATTTTAGAGAGAAATTATCTCCTAATCGTTAAGGTTACCTTTATTTAGCTTGAATTTATTTACCAAAGCATCTCTGGTTTAACAGTTGCAAAATGCTTAATCATTTTAAGGCCAAAAGTTTTCAGATAGTTACATTTTTATGCATTTTTATCCATCATTGTTCAAATAACTTTGACAGCTATTAATCTTTTTAACCGTTTTTCGAAAAAAGAGCTATTTTATACATCTGAGGGCCGTGATCATGTGTTTCTAATTGTGGATAATAATTTCTAACTGTTCATAATGGAATTCATAATGATAACTAGTATATAAGTGAAGCAACGTATAACTAAAGTTATTTTATTTAGAAGGAACAAACCTGATAGCGGAATACAGCTACAAATACTGTTATAAACTTACAGTAATAGCCATTACTGGCAATTAAACACCTATCTGTGGTTCTTAAGTTCAAAATAACATCCAAATTCAGAAAAAAGGCCCATGCAAGTACTTCGCATTACATATAAAATTTAATTTACGAAAAATATGTTAAAGAAAGGCAATCAGTGCTTTCACATACCATATCCAATTCCGAAATGGGCCCCATACTTCGAATCAAAAAATTGGTCGTCACTATTGTTGGAGAACCTATGAAGATAACAGAGAATTACATGTAGACTGTAAGAGAAGAAAAGTCAACGAAAAATTCAAATTTATAAATAAATCTAAAAACACTCAAAGTTGTAACATTCTTCACGTATTTATCACTGGAAATTTGAAACAAATATTTAAGAATTACCCTGAATATCATTTTATGCTTATTTCACTGAAGATTAAATAACATATATGTGTTTTTGTCTAAATTTTAAACATAGAAAGTTTGAAAAGGGAAATCTAAACAATCATGTAAAGTGTTTGCTTCATAGTTCATGATATACCTGATTGAAGTACACTAAAATGGGTTAGATAATGTTTGCAATATGCGAAAAGAAATTAAAAATATTTTAAGGTAGTTATTTTGATGAATAAAATTACTTCTAAACATTTGCTTTGATGAAGTTTGTAAAAGTATAAATGATTACTCTTTACACACTGCGCGTGTAAAAGAATTAACACTCCACGCAAAAAAAAAAAAAAAAATTAACTTAACGTAAGCTCGTATTATTGAAATAAATTATTTTGAAAATGATTAAATTCTAATTCTTAAGTATTCATTAGTATTCGAAAACAATCATCGAATGTACAACTTTAAACTGGAAACACTGATTCTTTTAACAAATTAAAAGCAACATAAATTTATAAATGGGGCAAAAAAGATTTAGGGCATTTTATTTACGTCTCAATCCGTGTTTTACGTTAAATTAGTTTCACATAAAGAAGCTTTTTGCCAATTTCTCTTCGCTACATATGACGCTATAAAATACGTGAAGTATGCGAAACACTCTGGATTTCAACATTGCTATTTTTCAGTATTTTTAATCTTTTTAATTTAACATAAGTAAAAATTATACTACAGAGGAAAGACGAAAAATAAATCTACATGTACCTGGTGCTTACAAATTAAGTACAGTTTTTATGATTAGTTATGCTAAGTAAAGATTATATTGAGAAACTAACCTCCATGATCTGGTCTTTGACGATTGTCATAGTTACGCAGCAAATGCTCGAGAACCGTGCTAATGTTTCTACTTAATTCCAGTGTAGTAGAAGCATCACTTGGCTTATTTGTAGACACCATACCACCTGTCGACGGTGTCTGAGGAAATTTGATCTTGGAATGACATCTACAATGAAATTTGATATAAATAGGTGGCTAAAGTGTAAGACAACAGAGCTTTTTGAATAAAGCTTTTTATAAATATGGTGCTTCACTTAATGTATTAAATATATTTCTTTATGTAAACTTTTGAAATCGTCTTTGAATTATAAAAAAATTCCAATTGTTTATAGACTTCTTTTGTTCACCTTTTATACTTAGTGAAACTGGATGAAAGCAATTTTCCTTTTTCAAAAATACAGCAAGTGCACCACAATTCGTGTATTAAAGCGATATTTTTGATCTGCAGTGAAGCTTCTTTCTTTTATTTTATGTACACGAATAAAATGCTAGAATAAGTTTACACTTCTGTGTAAAAAATTAAAATAATTATATACAATTACTAATAACTTCTTTTAATAGTCACACATTTTTCAGTGATATTTCTTAAACATGTGTAAGCTTCCGAGAATAATGTAGATACTTCTGACAATAATGGTCATACAATGGCATTATCATCATCTAAATTTTGTGCCTTCATCAATTTCATTTTCATTCTTATTTTATTTACATCATTATAAAGATTATATCCAAAATTCTTAATGAGAGATATTAAAAGTGCTTGCGCCTTTTGTTGAAAGCATATTAACTTTATAAACTGGCAGGTATTTTAGACTGACTATTTAGTATGGCTCATAGAATATGGAGAAAATATTTGACGTCTAAGATAACCACACATGTCAAAACGTTTCATTGACTGCTAAATGTGTCATTGTTACTTTGATATCATTCAAAAGTCTACTTTTTGTTTCGAAACAAAGCAAACAAGCAAACTTCCTATTTAGGACAGAATGTGATAACAGTTGTATAATACAAATTGCTCTAAATTCGGTTCAGCTAAAATTTCTAAAACAACAATTTGATGACGCAAAAGAAACAATTAAACATGTTTCTAAGCGCAAGCGCATGATTAACCTTTTATCTTCAGGAATTGAAATTTTAAATTCTGATTAAATTTCGCTTGAAAAAAGTAAAAAGAAATTAAGGAAAAATTAAATGCCAACTTAACTCAAGAATAAAATAAATACCTGAAAATCCGTTTCAACAAATAAATAAATGTCTGAAAGCACATTTTTCATTTATAAAATTATACTACATATTAATAATAGCTATTTAAATTACGTGTTAAATAATACGAAAAACGCATTTGAAGATTATTTAAAGAAAAAAGATCGATCTTAGAGAAACTGATCGATCTTAGATCTTAGTATATCGCATTGATATTTCTTTGGAGAACGTTCATTGGAGAGATTTAGGTGTTGGCTGTTACATAATATCTGTATGATAGGTTCCAGCTGTCACTTTCGTAAACTGTCAGCTTGCTATGTTTCTCTACCACTTTTGAGACAAGCTGAGAGCACATATGTGAGCCATGGGGGAGAAATGTCACGTCATTTTTGAGCATACATATATGAAAAAGTCTTCATAGATATCTCATTTGATTTTATACATACACACACACACACACATATATATATATATATACATGTATAAAGACAGGGAGACAGTAAAAATGCTGTGCAAGCATAAAATAAATTTATTGCATATTATCGAAATTTAGTTTTGAATATCATTGATATTGATAATAGCACAAAGTTCTGTAGCCATTTAAAGCTTCGATATCTGAACATTCTTAAATTTTGAGCTGTTTTTTTTTATATCCACGATTTGTACCATTGAGGAGTAACTTTAGGCCCTGCAGCTACATATTTACTAGAGACTCTCCGAAGCTTTTTCACTTCCTTTATCTGAAACGAAACATGCAGGCAAAATGAGTAGCTTAACATTAACACGTTAAGTGATCATTTGAAAAATGTTTGCATGGGATGACAGTTCTGCCGTTTGGCCTTTTCAGTTTAGCGCCAAAAATTCGGATCCCTTGAGACTCTTCCAAAAAGCATCCGAAACATTTATTTCAAAATACATGGAAAGGGGTACACGTTTTTGGTTAGCTACCACCTTTGTACTCTCACCTGTCCATGAGTAAACACATTTTAACCATTTCCGAAGAAAAGTGAATCATTTCACAGAAACTTTACCAACATGTGTTCTTTTCAAAGCTTAAGCATATCATAGTTCCTTTTAAGAGCAATATATATCTTTTGCTTAAAAATTACATGTCTACTTTTTTTTTCTTTATACTTATTCATAAATAAAGATCTGTATTAAGTTTAAAATAAAATTTAAAAAAAAACGGAAGTTTGCGGAGCAGAATTATTAGTTTAACAAAACCAGAGTATTTTTCCTTTCCTTTTCATATTAAAATAAAGACGCTTTTGTTTACTTGACCTGCCGTGAGTGAATAATAATATCAAAAAGCATTTGGTCTGAAAAATATACCTTATACTGCACCAAAATATATTAAGAGTACCTCATTAATAGTTGATTCTGCAATTTATGCAAAATACATTGTTAGTTTAATTTTGACAAGAATAACAAAACCATTTCCTGATGAAAGAACAGTAAAGGAATGCTTCCCAAAGGCCAAAAAAAGCTGCTGAGCTTGTGAAGACATTAGGATTTTTCGAAGCATGAGAGATAAAAAATTGAACAATGCCCTCGCCGGGACTCGAGCCACGGACCTCTTGAACATGCGTCGAACGTGCTGACAACTATACCACGAAGGCATGCCAAAAAGGCGTTAGAAATACTCAGTCTACTTCCCCTCCTAAATTGCGACTAGGATTTAGGAGACACAATCTCCAAATCCCGGTGGCGGAGAATCATAATCCACCACCTTTTTTAAGTTCGGGTGCCAATGTAGAGAAATTATGTATTTTGGAAGCAGAAGACGTGAAAAATGAGCAGTGCCCTCTCCTGGACTCGAACCATGGACCTCTCGAACACGCATCGAGCGTGCTGACCACTACACCAAGAAGGCGGGAGAAATACCCAATAATCCTAATTAAAAAAAAAAAAAAAAAAAAAAAAAAGGCATGATTACGAAAGCCAGCTTAAGAACGAATGACATATTTTAAAGATTCTAAGATATATTTATTTCCTCGAAACGAATTTCTTAGGTTTTTGACTAAAATTAGAGTCAAGACAGAAGAGAAACACGCCAGAGTGAAACATAAAATTAGCAAAGCAACAAGCTTGTGTTTGGGAGTAGATTTGACTAAATCTAAGCCAAACATAAGGTTATAATCATTTACAGCACAGCTGCAAACACTAAGTTTATAAGTATTACTTTCCGACTGACATTTAATTGCTGGCGTTTCTTCAAACATCAAAATGCTTCTTAATGATAAACAAATCTAAATACCCTTTAATTAACTTTTATAGCTGTTGAATTACTTTTCATCAGTAATATTTGTTCATACATACGAGTGAACGCCAAATTACAGTATTTTCTTGTTATAATAAATATTATTTGTATTGCATATATATATTCCTTATTCTCTCCAGACACAGATACTGCGTGTTATTGCATTGTTTTATTATTGTGTTATATTTCCTTTGTTTTATTATTATTATTATTATGCATTACCATGCTATTATTATTGAGTTGCTTGTATACATCTGTAAGCCTCGTGGTATACTTTATAGAACATGATTATTTTTGTATTTGTTTTCTTAAATTAAAAAAATAAATAATAGTACATATGTATGCATAGATTAAAAGTCTTAGTAAGTTCGGTTTGGTAACAGTACAGGATATTTCAACTGCGAATTTAATAATAATAAATTAAAATGAATACACATCAATGTAATATTTAAAACTATCCAGAAAAGTAACCTTAGTGTCATACGATTTTGAATAAAACAATCTGGATTTCGAAAGCTATTACATATATCCCTCTTATTCAGCGGGAAACTGCAGAAATGGGGGACGAGCGACAACTATCTCATATCGATGAAAAGTTAAAAAAAATTAAAATATTTCCTCGTAAATTTATACCTATCATGAAAATCTACCATTATAATTAAAATTTTTGAATTAATAAGTTAATTAATGCATTTGTTGTTATCTGTTTGTGACAATAGTTTTTAGTTTTGCTAAGGCAGAACAAAAGTTCATATTCTCTAATCTCTAATAATGATTTCTTCTATGGGAATCTTTAAGAAGTTTACCAGGATTCGAAACCTGCTCCTAATGTCTTATTTGTAATAAGCGAATATATATGATACATCTGAAAAAAAGATGAAAAAAATTAAAAAATTTCCTGTGCAAAATTCAATTTGAAATTAATTTTATTTAGACAGCTATAAAGTCGTTTTTTAATTACGCATATGCATTGGTTCAAATTTCCTTTAAATTACTGACTTTTGTTCTTAAGATTTTCTTGCTCTGTTTTATACAAAAAAAATGTTATCTGAATGATATGTTTCGGCATTACTTCGTTTATTAAAATTTTGCGGATATACTGAATAAAATGCAAGAAGTTTTTATGAAACACTGTTTTCCATGCAAAAATAATCACTGTACAAAATGACGTCTACATCAACGTATTATACTTTGTGAGAAAAAACAATCACGCGAGGCATTAGTTTGACAAGTAAATGACATATTAACATATAAAATTTGGTCTCATAAATTCTGAAATAAAAATGATGAGTTTACTTTAAAGGAAACGTTTTGCATATAAGTAGTTCTAAGGAAAAGGAAAAACAAATGTTTTCTACACCAAGAACAAGTTTTAAGGTAAAGATGATTTATATGAAGCAGGGAAAAGATAATGTGATGTTATTTTAAAATGTCTGCCACACGTTTTAGGACATAAAAGTGTTGGAAACTGTAAGGATTATGTGGACGAATTGAGTTTATACTTCTAAGCCCTAGGTTGCAGGTACATCACTCAAACTGAAGATGAAGGTGAGGGAAAATTTCGTAAAACACTGCTTACATGGGAAAAAAGGTACTATGAAAACTGGAACTCAAATACAAAGCTTACAGAGAAAATAGAGAGCATACGCAATGACATGTACATTTTTTACATATGCACAAGTTATGCAATTGCATTTGCA